GGTGGTGAGGGAAAGAACATATCCACTTGTATCTATAGGAGCAGACTCTGCCCAGGGTGAACAAAACAGTCTATCTGTCTTAAATCACCTGAGGATTCAACCCGTACTTTCAACATCCCATGATTATCCTTCAGCAAGTCGCATGATATTAACACCCACAAGGACTAGCGTTTGCAAACCATTTGGATCCTCGGATAAGTCAGGCTGAATATTTCCCTTTTGGAATACAAAAGAAAACGGTCCTCGTTTAGGGAGAAATCAAACTTTACACTGCGCACGGACATTTTCATTTTGTATTCTGAATCACCTCTGAGAATCTGTCACATTGCTTCTCCGATAAACCACTTTGTGAATCAGTTCCCTCCAGTCTCACTGTAGCTAAAAATATGACGAGCTAGCTACAAGTCTTACATCATGGTGATTTCAAAATAATATTTAATAATTTCATAAATTATAGTACTGCTGCAATTTTCTCCCAACTCCCAACTTTTTACAAGACCCCACCTAAAAAAAAAAATTAAAAAGATAGTTTTTGAGGTCTTTTTCTCCCTAATGGCTGATACACATCCCCAGTTTCAGTTCAATTTAAGGGCAGAAAGTTACACTTTCTGTGCTGCGATTGCGGGAAAAGTCCATGTGACTTGCTGGCCTGACCCCAAGGACTCCCATGGGTCACCCAGAAGGAGGAATGAAGCAAAGACTAGAAAGTCAAGAGAGAGAAAGGGGACTGTACAGCAGAGTACAGATATCCCAGGAGATGGTCTCATTAAAAATCAAGGTAATTAGACAAGGACAGGAGAAGCAAACCAGCCAATTAATAAGCAATTAATAAAGAGGCGTGTGCTGGCCATAGCATTCATTTATACATCACAAAACACACCCAAAGAGGGGAAGTGATTTTTTCAAGGCCAAATAAAGGCTTGGGGAATGGGGAAGGGAAAGGTTCTCAGTTCATGCATCTGTGCTCTACGTTCAAAGGTCATAATACTTTTCTCACCACGTATCATTTCCTCACACCCCAATGTTTGCTTGTAATTATCCATCTAGACACTTAAAGAACCCAAATTGCTATAATACCTGGGAACTTCAGAATAAGACCCCCTGAAAATAAAAGCGAGAAAAAACATGTAATTTTCCTCGCTGGCAGCACAGACACCCCCCCCGCCCCTTTCTTCAGTTTCCCGCTGCCTCCTCGCTGGCACAGCACCAGCCGGGAATGCTTTGTGTTAGAACTGCTCCCTTACATCAAGCGATGATGAATTAAAAAAAAAAAAAAGTGATAAAAGAAAACTATCCTCATTCATTATTGCTTTGCTTATCTGTCTTCCTCTTATGTACCAACACGTATAGCATGCTGGGTTTTATTTTCCTTACAGCTTTAAGAGATCAGAGGTACAAACTTATCCATTATTCAAAGGATGAATTAGCCATCCGACTGTCTAACGTAACGGTGCGTGATGAAGGCGTATATAAATGCTTCTACTACGGCATGCCGTTCAAAAGCAAGAACAAGACCGTCAAGGTGTTAGGTAAGTTCCTTCCCCTGCTTTGCTCCAGAGGAGCAGAACAACAAAGCCAGCTTCTCACCTCCAGACCTGCATTTTTGCATGCAATTGTACAGTGCTTAGCACAACATAATCCTGTCATCCCCCCGCAATAACACAGCCGTTCGTAAAACTGAGCAGAAAGATGTGCTGTAACCGAGTCTAAACCCTCTTGCTGCAGCTGCTCCTTCCGATCCAGTACTGGAAGTATCCCGAGACACAGGAAGAAGCATAACGCTGTCATGCCATACCCAGGGATGTAAACCACAGCCCCAGATTACCTGGCTGTTGGACAACGGAATAGAGCTCTCCGGTAAGCGTTAAAGGACCAGGGATTGATTACCAACAGGTTCTTCTTATCAGCCTTGGGCACAGTCAAAAATGCTGGAGGGTGAAACACCTTCTGTAACACATCAGCTGGGACTACCACTCATCCCCCACTCATTTAGTGCAAGCTGACCCCCATGGGGCAGGTTTCGAGAAAAGTCAGCGCTAAATTCCAGTGTTTGTGCAAGGCAGAGGGCTCATCTGCTTTGCACACATTCAGCGCAGAACAACAACGCTTGCAACCAAAATCTCTTGAGAGCCTGGAGTGAAACTCCACTGGGGGGAAAAAAAAAAACAAACACAAACACAAAAAACAACCCAAAAATGAAAGCAAAACTCTGCAGGCACAATTTTCACAGCCCAAGTATAAAGTCAGTTAACAAATCCATTATAACTATTTCCACGTTGTAACCGGTAGGGAATTTTTCTCCTCAGCTTTGCCGAGCAGGTCTGCACGCGTCCACGTGGACGCACGGCAGGAGGAACAGCGTCACCGCGTAGCTCGCTTTAACTATATAATTAGCTGCTTTGAAGGCCTCGTTCTAATAATAACCAGTTTATTAGCTGCAACTGTAGCACAGTGCAGAGGAAATGCACATCCGTATCAAAGTGTGAGGAAAATACCCATAGATGCAAATGTATTTTCTTTCACGTATTAGCAAGCTCTTACTTGTATTTTGTATCATCAAGCAACGTATTCAAAGCTTAGCCTGTAATCTTCAGGGCCCCCCCTCAAGATGGCTTTTTTGAACCAAGAGCTCTAGAAAACAACAGAGAAGCATGCTGGCTTGAGTAGAGCTAGAAATCAAGACTAAAGAAAAAAAAATAAAAATAAAAATATCCAGGCTGCCAGACAGACAGGCATTAATGGAACCGCATAAAACCCTATGCTTCAAGGACTCGCACTCGGGGAAGCGAGCCGCAGGAAAGGCAGGGCAGAGAGCTGGCCACGACTGCAGGGGGAAAGGTGCTCTGGAGCTTGGAAAAGCAGGTTCCAAAACCCAGTGTGTTTTTGGGAAGAGGCGGGCTGCACGTGACAGCTGCAAAGTTAGGAACTCAGGGAAGCAATACATCACCTCTGTGTTTCTATATACATTTTTCCAAGCGTTCTTCTAAAAACTAGGGTTTCCTTAAACTTAAAATGACCTCAGACCTGGCCTGATAAAGTATGTTATTCATAACATCACAACACACAACTGAACACCTCCCACAGCACATAAAGCCAACCATGCATTTCTCTGCTTATTTTACAGAAAACTACTCTTACCTCTGTCTCCTCCTTGCCTTTGTAGCACTAACCCAGTCAGCCATCAGAGCAAGCCATACCAGTGAGAACTACCCAAATTTCCACCCCCACGGGCACCTGGGAATGTAATTAAGCACCGCAGGGCCTGCGTTGTGTCTGCTTGCTTGGTTTCATCTGTGGCTGATTTTCAGAAAAAGGAATATTTGCATGAAGAGGTGCTGATTTCACCACGTGCCTGCTTGTGGCAGGCACGAATTAAAAAGATGGAAAGGAAAATGTAACTGTCCTAATTCAGTGTTTCTCAAACTTTCTGCATGCACTTTTCCTTTTTTGAAGGTGACCGTCTTTTGACTAACACTCCTTTCTCCCCCTTCCATTCTCAGCTTTAATCACTTGCTGCAAATATTTATACTAATCAGAAAATAGATAATACATCTTAATTACTGGCAGCACCTCAGTGCTCAGCAGGGGCGAACCAGCTGTAATTACTGAGCTGTTGCTGACAAAGATTATTTCCTTCCTAGCAAAACCACTCTGAAATCCTTTTGAGCTCTTACGTGACCCTGCTGGGGATGGAAAAGAGCGTTGAGAAAATCTGGTCTATGTGATACAGCAAGTTATCTGTAAAGGCTAATTTGGAAGCAAGGAATTTCTGCCATTTAAGAAATAAAGGTGTTACTAAGGGTAGCAGATTAAGAGAAAGCATCACTTTGTTTCCAGAGAACCTTTACATTATAAGCAGACAGTAGAAATTATTGTGCCACCATGGGCATTTCAGGTAAACATCTAAAACCACCTCCCTCTCCACCAAAGCTATCCAAACATGTCTCTGTGTCACATGAAATACATCTTTATTTTTCTGTGTCGTACCAACGAGTAGAAGTCAGTATTACCTACAGGACTAGGAACTACATCAGACAAGTTACACGGCTCTCTCTAATTCATTATGGCAAGGCAATTAATCTTTGTGTTTAACTTCCCCAGCTGCAAAAGGGGGACAGTCAAGCCTGCATTGTAAGGATGATAGAGGACTTGCACAGGATTTCATAGAGTCGTATGTTTATTTATTACAAATGTAAATGTTGCACATCAATATTTATTGTGCATATTTATCAATATGCACACATACCACATAACTTATTTTTGTTCGGGGTAACACATCCATAGCTATTAAGACACAAATTCAATGCCCTTGGATATCACATAGCAGGATCACAACTTTTCTAGGTCTCGGTTGTGCCAGAAAACAGGAGGTTCTTGCCCCGAGGCTCCCCACCGTGGGCCATGCGTGGCTGTGGCACACAGCAAAGCAATTTATTCCGTTCAGTAAGGACCAAACGTGGGTGTTTGGACATTTCGCCGCAGGGCGCTGTGGGGGAATTTCCCCGCGTGAGTCATGAAACCAAGCAGAGGCTTTGGGGCGAGCGCAGGAGGTGCAGCGAGGTCTGCGCTTCAACAGCTGCTGAGGGAGAAAACGTGACCTCGCTGCCTTCGGGCTCCCATGCAATCCATTTACACAACGAACCACTCCTGCACGGTAATCAGGTGCTGCTTTAGCACAGCAAAGTAATGCAGATTGCGCCTGGAAGCTTTTCCATTAAATTGCTCTTGACTAGAAAGCACTTAAATGTTTTCTTCCAATGGGTGTATAGGTGACACTAAGCACAAGTTAGAAGCTGATGGGAAGAAATGGACCACAACCAGCAGGCTGACCGTCCTCGCTTACAGGCCCAATTCAACAGCCAGTTGCATCGTTCGCCACCAAGCACTAAGAGAAGAGAAGTTGACGGCCTCTTTCCAGTTTGAGGACCTCCCTAGGACAGGTACCGCAGGCTCCTTCAGCCGTGGCTATCCCATTTTACCACTCTGAAACAGTGAGTTATGCAGACACACAGGCAAAGCTGAAGCCCATAGTCTACTGCCCCATATGTGGGATCTATTTTTTAAATGAGAGGGCTACTTGGGGCAAAAGAAGAACTCCCAACTAAGATTTGGGGGCTTTTTTCTGCTTCTTAACTACTTTAAAATTCATTAAACATTAAGCTACAGCAGCCCAAACAGATCAGTTGCCCTATGCTGCTGCTAGAATTCAGGTGATGTTTATCCTACAGCTTTAAAGATAACTCCAAGTTTATGTTCTCAAAATGCTGTGAGCTTCCCATGCCTTCTGCTTTTTAGACACATCCACTTGGAAAGCTAGCAGGGAGTAAATATTGTAAATTAACACTGACGCTGCTTGTCTACTAATTCTAGGAGTAGAGTTTGCCTTCTGCCTAGTTACTCATCTTTTGGATGGATTAATTATTCTTACCTTTGTTCACCCATAGATTGCTTGATTCAACAAATGCTTACGAAGTGCTCTGAAAGTTGTACTGCTGTTGGGTTTTTTTTCAGTGACAAAACCAAATCCTGCGCCAGCTGTGCGAGAGGTGGCTACCGGTGTCTCCGAGAACGAGCAATCTACAGGTAGGCATTAACTGCTCGGCATTTTTTTAATTAATGCACAGGTCAGATAAACACAGCATCTATCGCAAAAAATGCCATCCAGTTCCTTTACCTAGAGCTAGGGCTGCAGAAGAGCAGTTGCCATCAGCACTGAGGGACATTTTGCTTGGCCTTCAGAACCGACTTGGTTTTTTTCCCCCCAGTGACCACAGCAGAGCCAGATCTGAACGGCAGCATCGCCTCCACTCCGAATTACCCACAACATACTGGTAAGGGTTTCGCTTTCATTTTTTTTTCCTCATTTCATAGCGTTAAATATATTCAGAGGACAAGGAAGCTGGAGGCGGGAGGGTAGGACTGTAAGTCTAGCCACCGATCAGACAGAGGACCCACAGAGCACAGAGCACACCAGGGCAGGTTTCATTTTTCATGGATCAGTTCAATCAGATCAAAATGTTTCTTCTGATCTCCGTCTTGGGTTTGGGGGGGGTTTCCTTTAGTAACCAAACAACCAACTAGCCCTTCTGCAATACCACAGGATCCAGTAGCTACCAGTCAACGCCAACCCAGCAAAGCCTCCAACCCAATGTCACATGTCCTTGCAAGTTTGGCCTTAGTTACACGGATTTACCAAACCAGGACAGAAATGCTTACCGAGAACAGCGTTACGCTCCACATTACAAACAAACGTGTAACACAAACCAGAGCATTTCTTGCTTGTGCAGGGAGCCCTCGCTTTCAGAGCCATGAAAGCAGCCAAAGCCTCTCTGGTTGGATGCAGAACATCATGAACGTTAGCAGCAGCAGCCAGACCCGGCCACTATCGCTGCGTGGCCGTGAGCCCCGGGGTTGGGATTTCTCTCTGGATGGTTGCACTAGGTGGCACTGTGCAACAACGGTTGCGGTTAGTGAACTGAGGAGGTGTTTCCAGCAGAATGAAGAGGTCCACTTTTTTTTGACCAAAACCCGCCGAGGTTTGCGCACACACCCGCTCAGGCCATGCAGAGAAAAATCAGTTGGCCGGTTTAGAAATACAGGAACTCTTTGTTTCTATTTGTTTAAAAGTGCTACATCGGTGACTACAAACATCACGGAATGGCAACATCCTGATAAACAATTCATACGGATGTTGATAAACATACATGGGAGAGAGCCTGAGTCTTTCACCAGCACTTTCACTAGATGTGCTTACAGAACCGATAAGGAAGAAAATCTCTTACGAATGGAAATTTTTGGTAGACACAGCACGCGTTGCAATGTTAATTTTACAAATCAGTGTTCGTTATACAGGTATGTTGTCTGTGAGTGTAAGAAAGTCGGAGCTCACCTCTCTGTTTGCGCAGGGTCCGAAGTGACGTCAGCTGCAGCAGGAAAGGAAGGACTGGCTGGTTTGTCAAGTTATCGCATCCCCAACGGTACGACCTTACATCATCAGATGTGGCGTGGGGGTGGCAAAGGATGGGGATTCTCACACCGGGTGACTGCACCACTGTGAGCTGTGAAGGCAGGAAAAGAGTAGTCAGGGATAAGAATACCAAAAAAAAAAAAAAATTTTTTTTTAAAATCTGCTTTAAGGAAAAGGACACATGCTCATTCCTGGTTTTGCAAGCCAGAGAAGCAAACTGAAGGACAGGGAAAGCGCCAAAATGACCAAAAAGTCAAAGCTCAGCTTTGTTTTAATTTGACTATAAATGGGAACCGCTGAGTTCAACAATGTGTACGAGACTCTGAGGATTTTCTGTTTGTAAAGCTTAGGTGGCCTTCAGATTAAAACAAAATACAGCGTTAAGGAAGGGAGAATATGCATTTCTTAACCATGCCTTTACCCTTCAGAAAAAATACTGTTCTCCTTTGCATTCCTCCAGGGACTGAAACAGCACCCAATGGCAATGTCACAGAAAATGAACTTTCCAGGACAGAAACCCCACTGCCAAGTGAAAACGTATCTGCGATTTCCGTCATCACCTTCGGTACGAACTCTTTAATGACAGCTTCCAACTACGCAATGAGCTTTCTTACGCCAAGCTGGTTCTCTCTGACCGCGTAATGGTAATTACGTGGGTAACGCTTGCAATCTTGGGGAGAGAACACAGAAACACAACCGCTTTTACCATCTAGGAAAAAAAGCTAAATTTTACTGTTTGTTGTACCAGGGCATGAGTCAATCAGTTTTTCTCGTTAATATAAGTAGAAAAAATTTTAATCATGTCCAATAAAGTGACTTGTGCACTCCCACCATGTTCATCTAGCCTGGTCCAGGATCTATCTATCGTTCTTGCCTTAATTACCAGAGACTCACAGGAAGCTATTTAACACCACAAACATACGCCTGCCTCTTTTACAGAGCAAGATCTGAAGTCCGAAGGCATCAACAAGAAAGAGAAGAATCTCCTGCTGCCGATCCTGGTGGCTGCTCTGATTTTCGTGCTGCTCATCATTGTCCTGCTTTTTATGAGGAAGCTGAAAAAAGCTCACGGAGTGTGGAAGAGAGGTGGGTGACAGCCATGTTCGAGCAACTGCTGACGCTGCTTTATTCAGAGGGGCTGGAAAGCTGAGGAGCTTCTTCAGCAGAGACAAGACGTGGCTCCTCCAGCCACCGATTAATTGTCCTTCTCCCATAAAAAGTGACCATGACTTGTTGCAAACAACTGCTGACGAGTCCATGTAACTGACGGCCTCGGGCCACGCTTCGACTGACACGAGGTGCCACAAAAGCCAACAAAATTGTTGTCTTGAGCATATCTCTTAGATGGTCAGGATGATTGAACCCCCATTTTATAACTAGTCTCTCGGGATTCTTACGCTCAAGGCAGAGAGCGAGGAAGAGTCATGGAAAAAACTCAACATCTTAATTACGTTTGTTTTCTGCACAGAAAATGATGTTTCAGAACAGACACTGGAGAGTTATAAATCCAAATCTAATGAAGACAGTCCAGGCCACGAGAAGAACGGACACGGTAAAAGCTTTAACCAACATAAACTAATTCCCGTTAGAGCATTGCTACTGACCACAGCCAGAGCAGATTGCAGTCGATCTTAATATACAGGGATATTTGAAAATTGCATGGTTTAAACCTGAATATTCTAAACCTGAACCTTCCATACCTGGAGGTCCACCACAGATACTATAGCTTCAGTAAGAGTGACGCAGAACTGTACAAAATGAAAATCATTGCTTTTTATTTGATAGGTTAGACTGCATAATCACCATGGGTTTATCTAGTTTCTAAATAGAAGCTACTGAGACACTATTAAAAACAATATGCGTGCTATGTACCAGGAATGCTACTATTGTTAAAGTATCCTGAATGGCTCTTACCTGATCTCACCACCTCCAAAACATCAGTGCTTCATCAGTCCTGTCTTCAGCCAGTGACTACAGATGGAGGGAGGTCTGTCAGCCTCCTCAACTGGGTTATTTCTGCTCCACACTTAGACTTCTCTCTAAACAAAGGCAGCTTTCGGCAGGTGAATAAGCCCAGGTGGCAAGAATGAGGGAGCTTTGCCGAGGTCTTTCAACATGGGTTTATTGCAGCACCTAAACGGTATGAAAAGAGAAGGGGGGCTGGTGGTTATTGTCAAAATATTTTCAAAACTTTCCTTCTTTTTCAAATATTTTGAAATATGAAATATTTAAACCACTTCTAGTACAAACTAGTGCCTTGAGTATCGTGTAACCTGCATTAGATCACATCATGCATCCCCGTCTCTGCTGCGACGGATGCCCTAACAATTTGTAGGAATGCACGCCATCTTTTATTGTTCTATAACACTAATTAATTTGTATTTCAAGCAGGTACACACGCGCCCCTTTACAAAATCAGTACTGAATGTGTGTTTATCTTTCAGTTGTCAATCAGAAGTCCAACGTGCAATATGTAACAGAAGGATATGTGGAAAAAACGCAGAAGAATCCTAGAGAAAAAACCATTGCAATAACTGAGAAAATATTTGGATGCGGAAAGGAAACGGATGTATAGCAATGGCGAATCCCTACAACGTGCGGAAGCCCCCCTGTTTCCTGATATTTACACTGCAGCGTTCAGATAGCAACCTGATTTGAAGGAGCAGAATTACAAGCAGCTACCCTCGATCCACAAGCCGGTTGGGACTGCTTTTCTTTAAACAGTGGGACAGGTAGATAGGACCGGCGCTACCAGAAACCTATTAGCAATGAACACACTGATTTACCTGTAATCCTCAGAGGATTTCATTAACCAGAAACAGAGCTCACCGAGCCCATCTCGGGCCCTGTCAGCAGTTAGGGTCCCGGCAAGGGAACGATCAGCCCCGAGGACTGCAGGCCGTGAAGATATTCACCCAATGCTTTGGCCACTTCCTCCGCAAGCACGGGACCGAGGAGGAAACCCCAGGGAGCTGCAAACCAACTGAGGCCTGTATTATCTCATTCCCAGCCCAAACCTGGACGTTCAGCTGTATTTAACCAAGCAGGAAAGCATCCCGATGCCCAAACCATTAAAAACAAAGGTCGTTCCCCCTCGCTAGGACTTCTGCCTCGGTTTCTCACCCGCGCCACGGTGACGTCGCTCTCGGCCGGTCTGCAAGGGGCTCTGAAACCAAACCGTTTGGGTGCTACGATTGTAGAGTCTCCCACCTCACATGAGCTGCCAGGGGTGTCACTGAGAATACGGAGCGGGTCAAACCAGGGGCCGGGCGGTGAAGAGCAAGGGCGGTGTTACACCTGGGACTCCCCAAATCCGGGGACAAAGTCACTGGCGGGATAGCGGGCGAGCTGAGAGAATCGCCAAGGCGTTACGGCAGCAGAGCCCCGCCGATGCCATCGCCGGGAACCTTTTCTGTCGCAGTAACATAAAACTGAATCCCTGAAGTAAAGTAGATGTACGTTACAACAGAGAGCCGTATTTTATTTTTTATTTTTCATTAGAGATTATTATTTCTCACCAGAAGAAAGAAAAATGCTTTTTTTAAAAAAAAAAAA